CAAGGTTGAAAAGTCTCTTAGGTTGCCGTCGCAGTCAATAGAGTGGTTAGGTTTCAGGATTGACACAAAATCTATGACCATGAGCGTTCCAGACAGGAAAAGGAATAAGGTATTGAAGGACATTACTGTGTTATTGCAGTCTAAGCACATGCGTTTTCCAGTTAAATACATAGCTTCTGTTGTTGGTCAGATAATATCTATGAAAATTGTAATGGGTCCAATTTCACAGCTGATGACAAGATCTTTGAGTATTGACGTGGTTGCAGCTCCGTCATGGCAGAGTTTTATTGAGTTGTCATATTTGAGTATCAAACAGTTGAAGTTTTGGTCAGATTGCATAAATAAGTATTGTTCCAGATATCTAGTTCAGACAACAGTATCGAAGAGACTTGTATATTCAGATGCCAGTGATACTGGATTCGGTGGTTACTGTGTGGAAGTAGATAATGTCCCTTCTCATGGGCTGTGGTCAAGGGATGAGGCATTGCGTAGCTCGACGTGGCGGGAGCTGAAAGCAGTGCTTATGGTTTTGCAGAGTTTTGTGACTAGTTTATCACACCAAAGTGTCAAGTGGTTTACAGACAACAAAAATGTAGCTGCAATTAATGAGAAAGGTAGCATGAAGGTTCACTTACAGTCTCTAGCTTTGGAAATATTTGACTTGTGTGTGAAGAATGGGATTAACTTACAATTACAGTGGATTCCACGTCATGAAAACCAAAAAGCAGATTACCTAAGTCGGATGGTCGACTATGACGACTGGGGCATTGCCAAAAACATATTTGATAATGTAAACGCCAAATGGGGCCCTCATGAAGTTGATAGGTTTGCAACATATTACAATACCAAACTAGAGGTATTTAATTCTCGTTATAGCAGCCCCGGTTGTGCTGCTGTTGACTGCTTCACTGTGAACTGGAAGGGAACAATGAACTGGATTGTGCCCCCTATATGTCTGATTCCCCAGACGATCAAGCATTTGGCACAGTGTGGTGCGATGGGAACGCTTGTCGTCCCCGAGTGGCATTCTCCTTGCTTCTGGCCTTTATTAATTTCAAATTCAATGTTTATTCCACAAGTTAAAGCTTGTATATATTTGCCTACTTCCAGAGAGTCTTATACAGCGAGTAAGATTCCAGGAGGAATGGTTGGAGAAACTGATCTGCACTTTAACATGCTTGCTCTTCTTGTTGATTTCCGCTGATTGAGGTTTTCATTGTTACAGATGTGTTCCTTTGTACATATAAGAATGAACTTGATCAACTTCCTGTTCCTGTACGCCATTTGGCTAGCAGTCTGCCAGATTTATTGTCGGAATCGAGAGCCGAGTCCACTGTAAGGAAGTATGCGTACGGTTTTGCTGCATGGCAAAGGTGGGCAAAAATGAACAATATGCCTGATGTGTTACCAATTTCGCCCCTGCATTGTGCCATTTATCTTTTATCTGTTGTCCAACAGAGCGATACAGTGTCACCTGTCATTTCAGCCTTCTATAGCATAAGGCATGCACATTGCAGTGTAGGGGTTGAGAGTCCGACTGGAAATAGTCTTGTAAAAAATGTGTTGGAAGCAGCTAAACGGAAACTAGCAAAGTCCGTGGTTAAGAAGGAGCCAGTTACTGTTGCTATTCTTGAGAAGTTGTATGATTCAAGGATTGTAAATGCATCCTTGTCTGATTTGAGAATACTAGCTATGTGTTTGTTGGCTTATGCTGGATTTTTAAGATCTTCTGAGCTGATTAACATTTCTCGTTCTGATTTAATCTTTTATAAAACTCATATGTCTGTTTTTATTGAAAAGTCTAAAACAGATGTGTATCGAGACGGAGCTTGGCTCATTATAAGCAGAACTCAATCGAAACTGTGTCCGGTTGATTGTTTGGAGAGATACCTAAAACATGCATGTATTCCAGCAGATTCTGATCAGTTTGTTTTCAGAAGTCTCAGCAAATGTGCATCTGGTTATGTGTTAAGAAAAGGCAACAATCCTCTGTCTTACACAAGATTAAGGGAACTGTTCTTGGATGCATTGTCTCCATTTGTTACTAATATTAACAGTTATGGTCTGCACAGCCTACGTAGTGGCGGTGCTACAGCTGCAGCAAACAACGGCATACCAGACCGCATGTTTAAGAGACATGGAAGATGGAAAAGTGAGAATGCTAAGGATGGTTACATTAAAGATAGTATTGATAACAGAATGAAAGTTTCTCTTTCTCTTGGACTTTGACTTTCTTTGCAGCTCTCGGTCTTGCAGCGCACAGCGTGTCCCACTGTCAAATGTGTTGTTATGTTGCGTAACGGTTGGTATAGGAGAAATGTCATTTCTTTCGGTTGAAGGATGAATATGAAGGAAATTACTTTCTCCTAGTGGTGTGGAGCTTTGATGTAAGTAGAGTAGTCTGAGCCAGTAGGTGGCGCTAAACAGGGGTATTTAAGGGTATTAAGATTTGAATTGTTCATTCTCGCTCTAGTGCAAGCACGGCCATTACGTCATACTTATATGCAAAACATATTTGTGTTCAGTATTTGTGTTGTATGTTTCAGGTTTGTGGCTGTGGGACTAAGATCTGTTGTAATCCAGGTGTGTTGCTGTTGGTAGGTTACATAGCCAGTGCGATACTAATGTGCTGTAAACTGCTGTGGGCTATGTGCAGTCATATGTATATTGCTGATGATGTATGTGAAGAGCCGTTAATATATTGCTGTGGGCTGATGATGTATATTGCTGAGGGCGAAGAGCCGTTATAATACTAATGTAAGCTGCTGTATGTGCAGTCATACGATGATGTATATGTGGGCTGAAGTTATATACTAATATGTGCGGTCATACGATGATGTATATTGCTGATGTGCAGTCATACGATGATGTATATTGCTGTGGGCTGAAGAGCCGTTTTAATACTAATATAAGCTGCTGTATGTGCAGTCATACGATGATGTATATTGCTGTGGGCTGAAGAGCCGTTATAATACTAATATAAGCTGCTGTATGTGCAGTCATACGATGATGTATATTGCTGTGGGCTGAAGAGCCGTTATAATACTAATATAAGCTGCTGTATGTGCAGTCATACGATGATGTATATTGCTGTGGGCTGAAGAGCCGTTATAATACTAATATAAGCTGCTGTATGTGCAGTCATACGATGATGTATATTGCTGTAAACTGCTGTATGTGCTGAAGAGCCGTTATAATACTAATGTAAGCTGCTGTATGTGCAGTCATACGATGATGTATATTGCTGTGGGCTGAAGAGCCGTTATAATACTAATGTAAACTGCTGTATGTGCAGTCATACGATGATGTATATTGCTGTGGGCTGAAGAGCCGTTATAATACTAATGTAAGCTGCTGTATGTGCAGTCATACGATGATGTATATTGCTGTGGGCTGAAGAGCCGTGATAATACTATTGTAAGGTGTCATACGCGCAGTCGGTATATATTGTTTGGACTGTAAAGATGTTGTAGTAAACAGAGAGGTTGTGTTTTAATATTGTATGTACACGCATGTTATTGTCAGTACAACGTACTTATTGTGGGTTCCTAGCGATCTGATTAAGTGATGTTTTCACTAATGCAAATGAGCAAAAAACGTTTTAAAAGACTGAAATCATAGGATTGATTATTTTACAATTTTACACACTCTACAACAGTTGTTTCTTGTTTTAATAGTTAAAGAATGGTGACTTTAAATGGTTTATCTTTGTCTCAAAGCAGAATTTTATATCAACCTTTCTTTTGGACATCTAACTCACTGTTATTGGTTTATTTCTGCATGGAAGAAAATAGGACAATTTGACTCTTCTGAAAAAGATGTATTTCACCTAAATAAGAATGCATTTGAGAATTTGTTTTCGTGATTTGCATAAAGCTGTGTTGTTAAGCTTTCTTCTAAACTAATACCTTCTAATATATCTTTGATAATTTTGAAGTAATTCATAAAAGTTTGAGGGTAACGTTTCTTTTGGCGCTTAGTGTATATAATGTATGCACACATATATATGCATGTAACGGGTGGTCAGGCTCGCTGACATGTCATCGTATCTCAACTGCGTAGATCGATGCTCATACTGTTGATCACTGGATTGTCTGGTCAAGACTTGATTATTTACAGACCGCCGCCATTTACCTGGAATATTGCTGAGTGCGGCGTAAAACTAAACTCACTTACTCACTCCTCCTCCTCCTCATATAGACTGGCCTCTGGATGCATTTGCGTTGCATAAACTTTACTATGTGTTTGGCTTGCTTCCATTTTTTATTTCGGTGCAGCGTGTCCTTGCTATAAATTAATGTTTTTCAGTTTGGCATGAAACCAAACCTACTACTAGTTTAAACTTAGTTTAAAATAAAATTGAATTTGACTAAAATTGTAAATATTTTTCCTTCAGGTCAAACGCTGCAGGGGCTTACAAAGATTAATTTGAAGAACTATCAAGAAACTTTGCTAGTTTCTCTGAGTAAACAATTTCAACATGTGAACATTGAGACAAATGTAACAGTAACCGACATCCATGCTCAATACTTAATAATAACCTGTAATGCTTATCACGTTTCCACGAACACTCTAGTTTCATACATTACGTCTGTTTGTTTTATTACGTTGGGACGGGTCAAATGCATCAATGCGTGGATTATTGTAAGGGGCTGCTCCATCACCCGCTCCCTAACCAGGACATGTAACGTTTATTTCAATGTACACCACCACCATCACCCGATCCCCTGCTTGTAGCGTAGATAATAGTTTCAAATTGGGTGTATCATTTGGCTAAATGATGCCCGATGCAATAATTTATTTTGCAATTCCCGTTGTATGTTTATGGAGTTGTTTTCCGATGAACAATTGACTTGCCGCAGCGTGTGTTTGTGACAGGTGTCAACGGTAGGTCGAATACGCTCACTATACATGAACACCTGGTATCATCACTATTTACAGTGATTGATAAACCAAGATGAAATAGTCAGAATCGTAATATGGAATCTTATGTCTGTGGACACTGTGTTAACGCTTTTATTTACAATAATCACACTATACAATGAACAGTCAGCGTGTTTACAATAACTCAACACCATGGTCAGTCAGACAGATTGACAATAATCAGACCGTCCAACAAAACCGTTTTATGTCTCCCAGGTTTATAATCAAGAGACCATAGAGTCATCTGCTGTCATACATTAAGATCATCAACACACATCTGGTAATCATTGTCACGATTCTCATCCCAGGGCATCCATTCCTGCACACACTTCGTCGTCACTGATTTTTCTCGACTTTAGCTTCCAGGTCTACCTGACTGGCACCGACGAGTTCATCCACCTGAACAACACACAAAAAGTACACGATAAATAGGTAATTCGTCATAATTCTGTAGTCATTGGCGACCGTTAATAATTTATAGCCAGGAGGGGTGATGATGAGTTTTATGGAGAAGCTTGTACAATGTGAATGACCTTCCCTAAAATTTATGTACAAAGTAAGTGACTCCCCGTGCATGTCATGTACAAATCGGGGCGGTGGGGTAGCCTAGTGGTTAAAGCGTTCGCTCGTCACGCCGAAGGCCCGGGTTCGATTCCCCACATGGGTACAACTTGTGAAGCCCATTGCTGGTGTTCCCCGCCGTGATATTGCTGGAATATTGCTAAAAGCGGCGTAAAACCATACTCACTCAGTCAGTCAGTCATGTGCAAATCAATGACTCCCCTCCTCCCCCGTCCCACAATTTTTAAGCATAATTTTAAAATAATTTTATGTACAAAATTGCTGCCCCCCTAGAAACATGTGTACAAAATTGATGACCCCCTACCTCCCAGAACAAAATGGGTGACCCCCCACTCCTTAAAATCATCATCACACCCCCTAGCTATAAATTATGAACGGTCCCTTACATGATCTCGAACAGCAGATAATTCCACGGTTTTGCTTTACGTCATTCATCCCATTCGTATGTCACAAAGGCAGCATCTACATGTTATAAGAAGTACAGACACACCTGTCAACCATAACACTGTCTACAGCTACATACAGACAAACACACCTGTCCTCCATTACACTGTCTACAGTTACATACAGACAAACACACCTGTCCCATAACACTGTCTACAGCTACATACAGACAAACACACCTGTCTAACACCTACAGCTACATACAGACAAACACACCTGTCCTCCTGTCTACAGCTAACGCTGTCTACACCTACATACAGACAAACACACCTGTCAACCATAACACTGTCTACAGCTGTCTCCATAACATTGTCTACGGCTACATACCTCTGTACACTGACATTCGATCCTACAGCTATACATACAGACAAACACACCTGATTCTACAGCTACCATCACAACGCTGTCTCCTCCATAGCAGTCTACAGCTACAAACTCACCTCTCCTCCATATCACACCTACAGCTGTCCTCCATCTCATATGTCTACATACTACATACAGACAAACACACCTGTCCTCCATAATGCTGTCAACAGCTGTCCCCACATATAGACAAACACTCCTGTCCTCCATGGCTGACAGACGTATCATTGTCTACACAGCTACATACAGACAGCTGTAAGACTGACACCTTCCTCCATATCCATACAGCTGTCTACACATCTACGATACAGACAAACAAAATTACACCTGTCCTCCACACTGTCTACAGCTGTACAGTCTCCTCCATAACACGATACTACAGACAAACACACCTGTCCTCCATACGATATCTGTCATACAGACATCTCGATGTCAACCATAACACTGTCTACAGCTACAGACAAACACTCACCTCTCCTCCATCACGGCTGTCTACAGCTGACATCAGACTACATACATACGTCTCGATGTCCTACAGCTGTACACTGTACGCTGACATCTCGATGTCCTACAGCTGTGTATGTACATGCTGACATCTCGATGTCCTACAGCCTGTACGCTGACATCTCGATATCCTACACCTGCTGTACGCTGACATCTCGATATCTACTACAGCTGTACACTGACATCTCGATATCCTGCAGGCTGTACGCTGACATCTCGATGTCCTACAGCTGTACACTGACATCTCGATGTCCTACAGCTGTACACTCTCGATGTCCTGCATCTCGATGTCCTGCAGCTGTACGCTGACATTTCGATACACTGACATCTCGATACATCTCACTGACATCTCGATGTCCTGTACACTGACATCTCGATATCCTACAGCTGTACGCTGACATCTCGATGTCCTACAGCTGTACACTGACATCTCGATGTCCTACAGCTGTACACTGACATCTCGATATCCTACAGCTGTACACTGACATCTCGATGTCCTACAGCTGTACGCTGACATCTCGATGTCCTACAGCTGTACACTGACATCTCGATGTCCTACATCTGTACACTGACATCTCAATATCCTACAGCTGTACGCCAATGGCTGCCTATGCTACAGCTGTACGCTGGTGGCTACCTATCCTACAGCTGTGCATTGACATCTCGATGTCCTACATCTGATCTGTACACTGACATCTCCATGTGATTGTCTTACCTGTTTCCCGTCCTTGTAGAATTTAAAGGTGGGCATCGCCTCTACTTCACAGACAGCTGCTGTCTCCTGGGGAATCAACACGGAAAAGTGTACAACACATATCTAAAGTAATAGTCACAAAATTGATAGTTTGTCTACAAAAATGACACCATTTAGTTTTATCTCTTTTTTCAATCTTGATTTGACAAAATATGAGACATAAATGTTATTTCAGAATGTAACTATTTGTTCATGAATGGAACCAACTGTACCTCATTTTCGTCTACGTCGACCTTGATGAACACAACCAGTGGATACTTAACGGACAGGGCCTGCAATGGAAACATCTCCTATACATTTTGTCGACATACCTCCACGTGTCCATGTTTACTCGTAAGGAATCTTGCTAGAACTGATCTTCAGCTACCCGTGCTTGTCGTATTTGACAACTAACGGGATCGGGTGATCAGGCTCGGTGACTTGTTTGATGCATGTCAACGAATATCGCAGTTGTGTAGATCGATGCTCGTGATGACAATTCTGGTCCAGACTTGGACCGCCGTCATATAGCTGGAATACTGCTGAGTACGGCGTAAAATAAACAATTACTGTATTCAAACATATCAAAGTTACAATGGCACACTGTTTTTTGTGTATGATGCTTCACGAATCAGGTAATGGTAAAGAACAGAGGATGATTTATTAAAGGTATCGGCGCTGGACACTTCCGAGCTAGACCGACTGTAGCTTGGGTTACCTCTGACAAGGCAGAAATGCACTCGCGCCGACCTTGAACGATGTTTCGGAAACAAGGACACACTCACCTCAAAGAACGGCGCAATTCCTGTACATGGTGGACACCATGTCGCGAAGAAGTCGACCACTACCAGCTGCCCAGGGCTACCCGTCAGAACACTGTCAAACTCAGCCTGCCACAATCATGTATATGTGTTACAAACTAAACTAAACTGAATTAAATTGAACTAAACTAAACTAAACTAAACATAACTTAACAAGACTTAACTACACTTAAGTGTAATTCACAAAACTGCTATGAATCACAATGCCCTTCCATTCATGTGTTGATGTTATTGATGTATTGTACATTACTCATTCATAAATACAGCTGCAGTGATCGTATACTGTATACTACACACTGCTCACACAAACACCGATGTACTGATATACTGTATACTACACACTACACAAACACCGATGTACTGATATACTGTATACTACACACTACACAAACGCCGATGTACTGATATACTGTATACTACACACTACACAAATACCGATGTACTGATATACTGTATACTACACACTACACAAACACTGATGTACTGATATACTGTATACTACACACTACACAAACACTGATGTACTGATATACTGTATGCTACACTACTGACATCGATGTACTGATACTGTATACTACACACTACACAAACCCGATGTACTGATATACTGTATACTGTACACTACACAAACACTGATGTACTGATATACTGTATACTGCACACGACACACCGCCGATGTACTGATATGTACTGTATACTACACACTACACAAATATCCGATGTACTGATATACTGTATACTACACACTACACAAACACCGATGTACTGATATGCTGTATACTACTACACTACACAAACGCCGATGTACTGATATACTGTATGCTACACACTACACAAACACCGATGTACTGATATACTGTATGCTACACACTACACACAAACACCGATGTACTGATATACTGTATACTACACACTACACAAACACCGATGTACTGATATACTGTATACTACACACTACACAAACACCGATGTACTGATATACTGTATACTACACACTACACAAACACCGATGTACTGATATACTGTATACTACACACTACACAAACACCGATGTACTGATATACTGTATACTACACACTACACAAACACCGATGTACTGATATACTGTATACTACACACTACACAAACACCGATGTACTGATATACTGTATACTACACACTACACAAACACCGATGTACTGATATACTGTATACTACACACTACACAAACACCGATGTAATGTACTGATATACTGTATACTACACAAACACTACACAAATATGCTGATGTACTGATATACTGTATGCTACACACTACACATAAACACCGATGTACTGATATACTGTATACTACACACTACACAAACACACCGATGTACTGATATACTGTATACTACACACTACACAAACACCGATGTACTGATATACTGTATACTACACACTACACAAACACCGATGTACTGATATACTGTATACTACACACTACACAAACACTGATGTACTGATATACTGTATACTACACTACACACAACAAAACACCGATGTACTGATATACTGTATACTACACACTACACAAACACCGATGTACTGATATACTGTATACTACACACTACACAAACACCGATGTACTGATATACTGTATACTACACACTACACAAACACCGATGTACTGATATACTGTATACTACACACTACACAAACACCGATGTACTGATATACTGTATACTACACACTACACAAACACTGATGTACTGATATACTGTATACTGCACTGTACTACACACTACACAAACACCTACACAAACACCGATCGTAATGATATACTGTATACTACACACTACACAAACACCGATGTACTGATATACTGTATACTACTGCACTGCACGCTGCAAACACCGATGTACTGATATACTGTATACTACACACTACACAAACACTGATGTAATTGATATACTGTACACTGATGATGTGCTGATATACTGTATACTACACAACACACTACAAAACACCGATGTACTGATATACTGTATACTACACACTACACAAACACCGATGTACTGATATACTGTATACTACACACTACACAAACACCGATGTACTGATATACTGTATACTACACACTACACAAACACCGATGTACTGATATACTGTATACTACACACTACACAATGTAAAACACTACACGATGTACTGATATACTGTATACTACACACTACACAAACTGTATAACGATGATACTGATATGCTGTATACCACTACACTACACAAACACCGATGTACTGATATACTGTATACTACACACTACACAAACACCTGAATGTACTAATATGCTGTATACTACACTACTACAAAACACCGATGTACTGATATACTGTATACTACACACTACACAAACACCATGTACTATATATACTGTATACTACTACAAACACTGATGTACTGATATACTGTATACACTACACAAACACTGATGTACTGATATACTGTATACGACACACTACACAAACACCGATGTACTGATATACTGTATACTACAGATTACACAAACACCAATGTACTAATATACTGTATACTACACACTACACAAACACTGATGTACTGATATACTGTATACTACACACTACACAAACACCAATGTACTGATATACTGTATACTACACACTACACAAACACTGATGTACTGATATACTGTATACTACACACTACACAAACACTGATGTACTGATATACTGTATACTACACACTACACAAACACTGATGTACTGATATACTGTATACTACACACTACACAAACACTGATGTACTGATATACTGTATACTACAGACTACACAAACACCGATGTACTGATATACTGTATACTACACACTACACAAACACCGATGTACTGATATACTGTATACTACACACTACACAAACACCGATGTACTGATATACTGTATACTACACACTACAAAAACACCGATGTACTGATATACTGTATACTATACTACACACTACACAAACACCGATGTACTGATATATGTACATACTACACACTACACAAACACCGATGTACTGATATACTGTATACTACACACTACAAAAACACCGATGTACTGATATACTGTATACTACACACTACACAAACACCGATGTACTGATATACTGTATACTACACACTACACAAACACCGATGTACTGATATACTGTATACTACACACTACACAAAACACCGATGTACTGATATACTGTATACTACACACTACACAAACACCTATGTACTGATATACTGTATACTACACACTACACAAACACCAATGTACTAATATACTGTATACTACACACTACACAAACAACGATGTACTGATATACTGTATACTATACACTACACAAACACCTATATACTGATATACTGTATACAACACACTACACAAACACCGATGTACTGATATACTGTATACTACACACTACACAAACACCGATGTACTGATATACTGTATACAACACACTACACAAACACTGATGTACTGATATACTACGCACTACACAAACACTAACAAAATATCATTAGTGAACGTCTCGGCTGAAATGTACAACAATTCATATATTTTCGATATAAAAGTATATTCGACATATACACATTCACTCTTACCTTCGTCTTAACAACTTTCATCTTCAGGGTTTAAGACAACTGAAACAAATATTCAAATGATGAGACTTGAAGAATATATCGTACGTCGTTGAATTGAATAGATCGCAATAGGTCGTGAAGCGGGAATAGATATATAATGTTTCATCACAGTAGGTCATATCTCTGCATTATGTTACTTCATTGCAGTGAGTCATATCACTGCATTATGTTACTTCATTGTAGTAAGTCATATCACTGCATTATGTTACTTCATTGCAGTGAGTCATATCACTGCATTATGTTACTTTATTGCAGTAAGTCATATCAATGCATTATGTTACTTCATTGCAGTAAGTCATATCAATGCATTATGTTACCTCATTGCAGTAAGTCATATCAATGCATTATGATTCTTCACCACGGTACATCATATCACTGCATTATGTTACTTCATTGCAGTTAGTTATATCAATGCATTATGCTACTTCACTACGGTACATCATATCACTGCATTATGTTTCTTCACCACGGTACATCATATCAGTGCATTATGTTACTTCATTGTAGTGAGTTATATCAATGCATAATGTTACTTCACTACGGTACATCATATCACTGCATTATGTTACTTCATTGTGGTAAGTCATATCAGTGCATTATGTTACTTCATTGTAGTAAGTCATATCAATGCATTATGTTACTTCACTACGGTACATCATATCAATGCATTATGTTACTTCATTGTAGTACGTCATATCAATGCATTATGTTACTTCACTACGGTACATCATATCACTGCATTATGTTACTTCATTGTAGTAAGTCATATCAGTGCATTATGTTACTTCATTGTAGTAAGTCATATCAGTGCATTATGTTACTTCATTGTAGTAAGTCATATCAGTGCATTATGTTACTTCATTGTAGTACGTCATATCAATGCATTATGTTACTTCACTACGGTACGTCATATCAATGCATTATGTTACTTCACTACGGTACATCATATCACTGCATTATGTTTCTTCACTACGGTACATCATATCACTGCATTATGTTTCTTCACTACGGTACATCATATCACTGCATTATGTTACTTCACTGTAGTACGTCATATCACTGCATTATGTTACTTCACTACGGTACATCATATCACTGCATTATGTTACTTCATTGTAGTAAGTCATATCAGTGCATTATGTTACTTCATTGTAGTAAGTCATATCAGTGCATTATGTTACTTCATTGTAGTAAGTCATATCAATGCATTATGTTTCTTCACCACGGTACATCATATCACTGCATTATGTTTCTTCACCACGGTACATCATATCACTGCATTATGTTTCTTCACCACGGTACATCATATCACTGCATTATGTTTCTTCACCACGGTACATCATATCACTGCATTATGTTTCTTCACCACGGTACATCATATCACTGCATTATGTTTCTTCACTACGGTACATCATATCACTGCATTATGTTTCTTCACCACGGTACATCATATCACTGCATTATGTTTCTTCATTACAATACATCCTGACACTACAGTGTTACTTCGTTGCAAAATTTAAAATGGAATAATACATATACCGTCTAATGCATGGATTTGCCTGGTGTGTGTGTACCTGTGCGTGTGCGTAGGCGCGCGCGTACATGAACGTACATAAGTGAGTTCCACCTTCAAGCCATGTTTGAAAGAACATTTCTGTATACACGGGACTACGTGAAAGTTTGTTGACAGCTTGTTGACGTACCTTTGGGGTCAGTTACAGTGGTGAAGAGAGCTCGAGTCGAAGTGGGCACTGGTCATATGCAGGTAGTAGATACTGGCTTCAATACCCTCTTACTGTTATGGGTTGCCAGGTAGCAAGGTTTGAGAAGTATTAACGCTTACATAAGGGGATAAATAATCTAGTTACATACAAATCCAAATAGCACAAAATGCTTACTGAAAATAAACGAAAGCGGATTAACCGTGAATACTAATCTCACGCTGTTCTTATCAGTATTAACGTTATGTATATGTTCCAACGTGAATGGAGCCGATGGGGTAGCCTATTGGTTAAAGCGTTCGCTCGTCACGCTGGAGACCCGGGTTCGAGTCCCCTCATGGCTACAATGTTTGAAGCAGATTTCTGGTGTCCCCCGCCGTGATATTGCTGGAATATTTCTGAAAGCGGCGTAAAACTTAATTCACACACTCACTCACTCCAACGTGAATGTGTAGTTAGGGGACACAATATAAACACACTCCTATAACAAAGGGATCATGTACGGCCATAATACTGTTGACATTTACCCACACTCTCAATCAAAATGACATTGTTTTAGACAAAAAGATGTTTTGAGTGGGATACGGCTGGTTAAATACTACACTTAGAATCCGTGAAGATCCGGGTTAAAATTGGTCTTCAGCAACCCTTGCTTGTCGCAAGAGGCGACTAACGGGATCGGATGGTCAGGCTCGCTGACTTGACTGACACATGTCATTCTACCCCAACAACAAACAAACAAAACAAAATACACTTAGACTTTGAATTGTCACTTAGCTAGATTTAGATTAACGCATAACCTATAAAAATGTCATATTTGTTATACAAATAAATGAAAAGAAGCCTCCATGAACTAGAGGATTCAGCACTCTGGGCTGCTTTGTTTAGGACTTTTGCATGACAGGAAGGTCTGGGAGGTAGAGAAAGAACAAGGTAAATGACTGTGGGGCAGACTAGGTGGCTTGTAAAATGCAAGAATTGACAACTGTGGAGGTCATAAACATCCCACAGTGCTTGTCTATAAATAATCGAGCCTGGACCAGACAATCAAGTGATCAACAGCATGAGCATCGAACTACGTAACTGGGATATGGTGACAATTGTCAACCAAGTCAGCGAGCCTGACGACCCGATCCCGTTAGCCGCCTCATACGACAAGCAAGGGTTACTGAAGACCAATTCTAACCCGGATCTTCACGGGTCCCAAATATTAGGAATGCATCATTATAACATAAAGTTCCATGTATTCAGAATGGTACTAAGACATAACGGAATGAACCAGTACTGTTTTATCGATAGCGATCACGTACAGTGTAAACTAACACGGAACGCCTGGCCAATAATCACTCATTACATAAGTGGTACGCCACGACATTGGGGCGGTGGCATGCATAATAGAGGTCGTGGAGGTAATTTGGCCTATAATCAGCAGCAGATTAGACTCGTTCGCTTTGAATGCATGATGGCTATTAATGCATATTTGTAATTCAACGCCGCACTAAACAATATTCTCGCTCTGTGACAGCGGTCTGGAAATATACTGAACATCATTGAAAACGCACCACTTATAAAAGTTCAGATTATTAAAAGCACATGTAAGGAATTGATATTTTTTTGAGAGGATAATAACAGATGGACGACTGACAAAAACAGCAACACAGAAAAGACGCTCATTCATTGAAATGTTCCACAGTCAGAAAGGATCAAACAAACGTGGGGTCAAATCGAAAAGTCAATATCGCGTGTGACCGCCATTTGCATTGACACATGCAGTTCAACGTCTCCTCATCGAGTCAATAAGCGTCCGAATAGAGTTCTTGAGGATGGCATTCCACTTCTGCAGTAGTGCAGCCTCAAGTTCCCGGATGTTTCGCATCTGTTGTCGCCGCGAAAGACTTTGACCAATTTCGTCCCACAAGTGCTCCATGGGGGATACATCTGGCGACTGTGCTGGCCAATGAATAACCTGGATGTGTTGCTGGGCCAGATACTGCATGATAAGTCTTGCGTGTGCCCGTGCGTTGTCCTGTTGAAAAGTATGGACATCTTGGTGGTGATTGAAGACAGATACGATGTGATTCTGAAGAATCTGCTCACGGTAATAAAGGGCATTAACTCTCCATTGACAGACATGAAGGCAGTCCTGTGATTGTAATTTATTCCACCCCAGACCATGACACTCCAACCACCCAAAGGTCTGTCTGAACCACACACTCATCAGCATAACGTTCACCACGTCTACGCCAAACACGTAATTGGAGCCGTGAGGGCATCTGCAAATGAACCAGCCGTTACACTTGAGTGCACACCCACCCGCTCTGACTGGGTTCGGTATCCCGGCTGCTTCGTTTCTTGGGAAGTAAACCCAAGTACACAATATTGCACTTTTGATTTGCGATTGTACGCTTATACTTTTGTTTATATGTGTTTTTCATAACCAGCAATGTATATTATATGTCATGAATAAGTGATAATTGTGTTTTAATTATGTTCGATTTTTTGGTTGCATGTGACCTTTAATAAAACCGACAAGGCCCATTCAACATGCATAAAACAATCTTAGAGCTGACAGTACGACTCTGATTAGATAATGAACATGCGTTTGCGGATCAGCATCAAATACCGGGGGAATCACTCAACAAACTGCTAGCGGAGGTCACACCGATAGCACACATCACAAACACATGTAAAGGCATGTCGATTCTACACATGAAAAACACAGGAACATATCATACAAGTCAAATAGAATTATATTTTTCTGCATATAATTTTGTTTAAATGGAAAACATAAGGCATATTTCACCTGTGTAACGGACTAAGTATTAGATCACCATATATTTTGAGGGGCGGTGGGGGTAGCCTACTGGTTAAACTTAAAGCGTTCTCTCGTCGACCAGGGTTCGATTCCCAATATGGGTACAATGTGTGAAGCCCATTTCTGGAGTCCCCCGCCGTGATATTGCTGAAACATTGTAAAAGCGGCATAAAACTGTACACATTCCCTTCCATATATCATGAAAACTACTTGTTAACACCTGGTGGATATTATTAATTAAACTGAATGTCGGATTAAATAATCGATAGGAAATGTGACAAATATACAATGTCACGTCAGTCTATAAAGGTACAAAATATCAAATCTATGTCAACGCTAGGAGTAAAAAGTTCTAGACACATAGTTTTATTTATAATTCGCATACTAAAAACAAATAAACAACAACAACCCAAAGTTTGTAAGGCCTGGCCTTGCCATAAATAAAAATACTTAAGACCATCTAATCACTGGACAGAGTGAGTGAGTGAGTGAGTATGGTTTTACGCCGCTTTTAGCAATAATCCAGCAATATCACGGCGGGGGGACACCAGAAATGGGCTTCACACATTGTACCCATACTAGACAGCGACAAGACAAGTATTTTACGATACTGACAGAGATGGGGACTACTCATATCTAAATATTAGGAGATAAAAAATTGCGTAGATCGATGCTCATGCTGTCAAACACTGGATTGTCTGGTCCAGACTCGATTATTTACAGACCGCCGCCAGAATAGTTGGAATATTCCAACATCACGGCAGAGGACACCAGAAATGTCTTGTAAAACAAATCTATTTCACAAACGTTTTCCTTGACTTATCGGAATCTCTGTACTTCTACACAGCAGTCGTCTAATATCCAAATAATCTAACTGGATTTTCCGGCTCATCGATCACTTGATTGTCTGGTTTGTTTACAGGCAGCCGTCACATGGGAGCAGTACTGCTGTGCAGCGTCAGCAAAAATAATGGTTCCATTTTTCGGCAAATTTTGTGAAATCGTGCTGCCGGTTGGGCAGGGCATGCTTGCCTTTTTCACGAACACTTGGTGTCATCAATGGTTTTCATCAAACCATTCAAATAATCTTCAGTGCTATTGCTTCCCTTTCACCAAAAGGAATTCTTTTTGTGGGGACGCACGCACACGCACACACATTAAAGAAGAAACAAGGAAATCTGTTTGACTGGCAGGTTAAGACTCTTACTTGACAACGGTATAACAGTCTATACAGAAACGTCAAATCATATATAATAAAGAATTTGTTATCCATAAAGAATCTTGCTTTCTTATGGAAGAAGGAAAGTCTCACAATTTCGAGATTTTGGAACTGATCTTAAAAATCTTGAAGTAAGGAGAAAATGGTCCAAGTAACGAAAGAAATATTTGAAATAACGAGAAAATAATGATAGCAATGTGAAAAAAAATAATCTCGCATTTTAAAAAAAATGTATCGAAAATACGAAAATGTAAGGAGGACGAACGCGAAATTTACAAAAGAAATAGACAAAAAATCGAAATAAGAAGAAATATCGGCATAACAAAATAATCTTTGCTACCAAAGTGGCACTGTTACGCTTTCGTACATACAATGACGGGGTGATAGAGTACGTTAGATCACGTGACTACATGTACACACAACTCACTATCAAAATATACACGATTCAATGGCTTGATCATCCACGGTCGCATTGTATAGCACGACGCTAGTGCTGTTTCACTCTAATAAACTCACGGGCGAAAGAAACGTCACCAAAATTATTTTTATATCTTTTATCGTACGCTAAGTGATTATTCATATCTTTAGTTCACACTTTCATCATTCAGAATGTTGTAAATCCATTAATTTTCCAAATATGATTGTTCAATTTCCAAAATCTAAGTTTGTTGTTTTGTGACAAAGAGCGAGGTGACGTTTCTTTCGCCCGTGAGTTACCTGTTTGTAGTTATAGAAGTATAATTATTACTATAGAATGTCTTTACCTGGACGAGTAAGACCAGAGAGTCAGTCCTAATCCGTCATCTTTAGTCGTCTGGATGACTGCTATTCTCGTGATAACATTGTTATCAGCAAGATAACACCGAGTTCCGGGACACAAGCGTATAGGCCTAGTTGTAGCGGTAAACAGATACGTGTGGTGTTGGCAGTGTGGTGGCCTCGGGTAATAGCCTATCATATGGGCATTCACACACAGACACAGAGACAGTCAGTCACACAGACAGACACACACATACACACGCACGCACGCACGCACGCACAGACACACACACACACACGCGCACGCGCGCACGCAGACAGACACACAACGTGAATTTTCCAACACACTCACGTACATACATACATACATACATACATACATACATACATACATACATACATACATACATACATACATACATACATACATACATACATACATACATACATACATACATACATACATACATACATACATACATGCATACATACATACATACATGCATACATACATACATACATACATACATACATACATACATACATACATACATGTAAATTGGCAAATTCGTGTTATGTCATTGTACATGTGTGTGCGCGTGTGTGCATGAGTGCGTGTGTATGTGCATGCGTGAGTGCAGGCCCACTGAAAGTTCTCAGATGTTTAGGTCAGCGGTCTAAGATGAGTTCTGATACACATGTACCAGTAGGCTCGAATATATATACTGATGTGTCCACATTAATCAATCAATGAAAGAGTCAATTTTAGATCGTTTTTTTTGACACTTTCATACATCAAATTATACAAGAGCATCAACGCCATGTTTATCACTATCATCCGGCAACGGCCTGTAGTATCTGAGAAAGTTCAGATCATTAAGCACTGTCAGATCCCATCACACAGACTTGTGAATTGGTAACCCGTGAATTTGCGATCCGGGTTAGAATTGATCCTCAGTAACGCATGCTTGTCGTTAGAGGCGACTAATGGGAAGATACTTCCTGATTTTCATGAGAGCCTAGTGAAGACATAGTCGTGAACCAGGGTATATCAGCATGAAGAAGGCATAATAAGATACTTTGTCTCGCTGTGATCCCTGTTATAAAGAAGTTGAATTCTCTTAAAGAAAGAAGACTAAAAATTTACGATTTTTTTTATAGATTTCTTGAACATCTGTAGTAACATAATTGAAATAATCGAAGCAGCTAGAAAATTAGAATTTTGGAGTTCTCAAGAAACTTGAATAGAAGGGCAATCGAAATTACGACTATGTAATCGAATTAAGGAGAAAAAATCTTGAAAACGAAAACAAATAAATAAATATGGGATATCGAGAATTTTAGGGAAAAAAATCATCGTAATTTACTACCATCATGGCACCATTTGGTTTTCCTGGCGTGTGACAGCTCTACCCATGAAGCCATTTGTTCTCCGGGCTTATTTCTAAATGTATCTAACACGTCAGCTAATATCTATACCTATGTCGATTCGTGTATTGAATTTCTAGCTGAAGTGACCACATGTAACTTCCACATGACACCCATAACAAATTCGAGCTATGTTTTTAGATCGATGATCATGTTGTTGATCACTGGATTGTCTGGTCTAGACTTGATTATTTACAGACTGACGCCACATAGCTGGAATATTGCTGAGTGCGGCGTAAAACTAAATTCGCTCACTCACTCACTCACTATAATGACGGTAATAATTATGTCTTATTACAATGAGACATAAGATGCAATTACCACAACGTGTTTTATGCATTAACAGTTGGAATCACCATCAGCGCCAATATCACCAGCAGCACAGCACCAACATCCTGGACATTTGTTTCTGTCAGTCCAGTTTGTCCTAATCTTCTATCAGATCAGCATTCCCATAGTATATGTACCTCATTATGCTCCCAACTGTTGTGTTCCACATCTTTATATTTTCTCGGTTCCTTTCTCTGTTTCCCTTTGGACCAAATCTCATGTAAAGGTGAACCACAAAGTTATTTTCCTGCCAGTTCCATTTCCTGCCGCCAAAGAGGTAGGCTAGCTCTTTCCAGTTTGGTCGGCAGAGTGATGCCGGTTCTATGTGAATCAAGTTTGGGTATTTCTGTGACAGCTGATACGGTTTGATCACAGAGTGGGAGCCCCAATTTTTGTCTTTGAATGTTTTGTATTCGTGGTGCCATATTTTTTGGAAATCAGACCATGGTTTAGAAAACATAATCCCATTGGCTAAAACGTATGGTACCGCGTGACCCATTGTGACGTCATGGACTAAAAGCGGGTCAATTGGGTTGACGACTATAGAATCAGTGTCGAAATACATCCCTCCATACTCCAACAGTGCTTCGAGTCTCACAATATCAGCGACGTGCTCTATAACCTTGACGTCATTGCCTCTGATCTTGGTGGGTCTGTCTCTGTGGACGAGGTACAGATTCTTCACCTTCTGTTTCGTCTCTTCCCAATATTCACCAACTGGGAGGTTGTCATGCCAGAAGTAAATTTTCTCTGGCTTCGCGATACGAGACGCGGCAAGGACTGCTATCATATAATGAAATCGGAATGTAACATTCCCATTTGAGAAAAGACAGAAATGGACTATTCTCGGTACCACCGGCACAGCGTGGCTTATTGAGGCGTTAACATCGAAAGGCTCTTCCACAAGTTCATCGAAATTTGTGCGTTTGTAAAAGTATACATCCATTTTATTTCCTGGATCTTTACATATATTGGTTTCAAGGCAATCTGGAGCAGTAGGTTGTTCTGGAAGGATATAATTTGCAAGGCTTCTATTGGCAAAGCTGTCTCCTCCGGGTTTGAAGGATGTGCTCTGTTTATAAAGAGGGCGACCACCCAGAAGGAATATGTCCTCGACAACGACAAAGTAACAGCACAGCACACCCATGAGGGTCGCCAAGGCCACGAAAAGATGACTGCTCAAGAGCCTGATCATTCTGAAATTGAAGAATTATTTTTGTAATAATGTCGAAAGGCATTTTCTGCAATTTAGTATGAAATTGGCTTGAGAGATTTTATAAATATTTCCTGACACGGTACTGTTGCTCGCCTGGATAAATAATCATGAGGGTGCTTTTGTTTTGTTTAACGCCGTATTCAGCAATATTCCAGCTATATTTAAGAAATACAGTTCGCTCTACCACCATGTATAGTGTAATAAAACACTCTTTCGCCCTTAACTATTATGACGTTAAAGCACTCGGACGGTCATAATAGTTCAGGGCGAAAGTGTGTTTTATTACACTATACATGGTGGTAGAGAATAGTTCAGGACAAAAGTGTGTTTTATTACACTATACATGGTGGTAGAGCGAACTGTATTTCTTTTCTAAGATGCCAAATTTAATACTTTCTAAGGATAATTACGATTAATTTAAGGCAGAAAACAAACGACGGTGTCGGTGACCTAAATTAAGAATCCTCGCACAGGGCTAACTGGCGCGCTGTTCTATTGATGTGTCTGCCCCCCTACGTTAAGACGAACGTTACCAGAAAAATAAATGATAAACAGTTTGATGACGGTTTACGTTCGGATTAAATATCTTCTCTGAATTATTTTAATTACATCTGTGATTAACGTAAACCATGTGAACGTCGCATTTATACTACCAACGTATGTTTAGATCAGTACATCCAGACGAAGCTGAGTAGTCAAGCGACATTCCACGATTGCATTGTGGGAATGTAAACAATGCGAACGTACCGTGTCGCTGAAAATTTGTGAGTCGAATTTGGACATTTTAAACGTCAGAAAACATAAACGTAATGTTTCCACCAGTGATGTTAGGTGAGTGAAGCAACTGCAAACCAAGAAACGGGATGCAACGCAGTAGTTTACTGTAGGAGGCTGTACGAGGCGATGACAACTGACATGCATCGTGACGTCGCTGATATTGTGACGTTATGTACAATGGTTCGATTACGAGGGGGCACACTAGAATGGCGCATTGACGGGATACCTTTATTGTCTGTTCTAAGATGCCTAGCGGTTAGAACAATCGAAAAAAAAGAAACATTATCAGACAATAAAGGTATAGTTTTTTGATGACGTAACAATTGAAGGACGTTTTCCTGACAGAATGTTTTTAATTTTGAATTGTTTGAACGCACGGGTACAAATCTCTTTGTAGCCATCGCTTGTGTTTGCTGACAAGAAAAACAGATTTATAGTTATCTCCCTTCCACCGATTTGCATTCGCAAAACATCGGTAATTTCCGTACATCATACTCGATTCAATGTTATTCGAGATAAAGAATTACTACCACGAAGTACCAAATGAGTTGCCATTGACAGCGGGGTACATTTGAAATGTTACTCGCTTGTAAGCGGGGTACATTGAAAATAATAGAAGAGCGCTCAGCCAATCAGAAAGCGACATTTATGTGTGAGGTAAGATATAGGTTCTTTGTTTACACTAATGGGGGTTCCCTTTTGGAGAACACCTGGTGTCATCACAAATGTTCAGTTCACCATTCATATGATTTTCACAGCCAATTTGCCCTTTGCATCAATTGTAATCTATTTCAGAGGATAGTCAAGACTGGGTAGTCTTTTGCACTGATAATTAATGTTTATGAAATGTAAGAGCATGGTCAAATTGCAGGCCAACAGTGAAATATCTTGGAAAACGAAACATGTCTGTCTGACTAAAGACGTTTGCCAACTAAAAGACGCTGTTAAAAGGACATTAGACACAATGAAGCAAAACCATGACATTATGTATGAGGACATGGGCCCATTTCAGGCCAGGTGAAATGCTCTGTTTGATATGTTTGTGCAAATAATTAAGTCTGGACCAGACAATCCATCATGAGCCTCGATCTACCCAATTGGGATACGATGACATATGTCAACCAAGTCAGCGAGCCTGACCACCAGATCCCGTTAGTCGCCTCTTACGACAAGCATGGGTTGCCGAAGACCATTTATAACCCGGATCTTCACGGGGAGACAAGCATGGGTATTTGAAAATCAGTTTTAACCCGGTCTTTACGGGTATGTCAAGAATGGATACCGAACTAGACTTACGTCCGATAGGAAACCTGTACGTCCGATAGGAAACCTGCAGGCGAAGAACAATTATTCCCATGTCAAGAATTGATACCAAAGTAGACAGATTTAATTCCGACAGCAAACGTAATTAAATCCTCATGCATGGAATTCTAGAATCCGGTAAAGAAAAGTCAATGGCATGTAAGGATACTGTGTTACCCGTCCTTACTTAACATGCTTAACCTCAAACGCGGCAACCGTAGGATATCACACGTGTTAAACGTGAACATTCAAAGACTGCCTCGTCCAATGGTGGCTGAGTCACCCGTGCCATGAAAGCGAGACCCACGCTCAAGGAACGTGGACTTTGAATTTTCAGTGATGTCACGTCACGATATCGTCAGCAGCTGCCTACGCTTAATAAAACCAACATCAGCTTTGGATATTTAGCTATGTATATTTCAAAGATGGACGCTCGGTGGTAAAGCCTTGCAGAATGGAAAACAATACCCAAAATCGATGCTGTCTAATACCGCAGACACTACCTGAGAACACCGGGACACGATACTAAATGTTTTATTCTCTGGGGTACATGCTTAAAGAACAAATAAACTTTGTTTTTTTTACTCTTTTAACTATTACATATAAAAGATTTGTGGTCAGTCTTATGGGGAACACCAAATTCATTCTTTAAAAACTTGTGGTTAATTAGTACCGAGCGATTAAAAGTTGCCAAAAAGTCGCCTGCTTCACTCTCGCCCGCCAACGAAACCACAGACAGGTTACGTAACTCTGTCGCCAGAGCACTGCAGTGACGTCATATGAGGAAGGATTTTCAGTTAGTTGTATAGAAAGTGTGTAGCAAGTTCGTCATTTTGATGATTTCTCGACATCAACGAAGACATGCCAAATCGTTGCGTTGTCGTCAATTGCTCCTAGAGGTCGGGCGATGGTGTCGCCATGCACAGATTTCCACAGGACCCGCAGTTCGTGCAAAATGGGTTATGTTTGTGAGTGCGAAGCGAGCGTTGTGGAAGCCTGAAACGATATCTTACTTGTGTTCAGATCGCTTCACGGAAGTTAAAGGATCAAAACTACTTACTAGTCGTAGTAAAATATGTATATGATTGATAACCATAAAGATTTTCCATGACACAACTTGTAACATAACGATTTCTGCCTCAGAAGCGAGGTTGTGGTTGAAGTAACAATAATACTGTAAGTAGTATTATATTGACACCCACCTCGCTTCCATGAGAGAAATTGTTATGTTATACAGCTATGTCATGCAAAATCATATTGACCATCAATCAAATACATATTTTACTACCAGTAGAAAGTAGTTTTGATTTTGTAACTCGGTGAAAACAAACCTAAATAGCATTTATACTCAGATTGGCGGATGTTCTCGACAGGGCGCCGCCATTTTTGAAAATCGTGAAGTCACGGGCTAAAGTCTGTTAGAATTAATGAGATTATGGTTTGTTTTCATCAAGTTAGAAAATCAAAACTACTTTCTACTCGTAGTTAAATATGTATTTGAATCATAACCAAAAGCATTTTGCATGACACAACTTATAACATAACGATTTCTTCCACGGAAGCGAGGTGGGGGGTCGAAGTGACAATACTGCGCGATAACTTTCTTGCTACATTCACGTGGTTAACGTCCACTCACCAGTATGTATATACTAGTCAATGTACGTCTTTATTTTTGGTCTTATTATCCTAATTAGTTTATTATCATACTTGTATGCATTTTGAAACTAAATAAAAAGCAGACGATCTGCTGATACTTATAGTGCATTTATAACAGGACTATAATATCTGGATATTTGATAGTTTGCCAATGTGAATCATAATTTGCACACACGCCCTAGTATGTCTCATTACACTTCATAGCGAAAACAACAATTCTGTTGAATGCTACGACAAATGAATAAAAACAAAATGCAAATATTTAAATTAAAACAGAATAAATTTATAGGAACAATGTCAGGCTATTACCTTGTTCGACGAATGTATCCATCAACATAAAAAAACCCGAGTGATATGCCATTCATCTGCAGCTGTTCCAAGTGATGTGTCTTTCAACAGTCTAGTATACGAAAAAGTGATATATAGTTTCAGGTATGTCACATCGGTGTATAGTCTCATTGGTCACCCAAGATAGCACACCTGGCAACTGATTGCATAATGTCCACCATTCTTTAAAAACGGTAATTTAGTTAGCCAATAATGAGCAATCAATCACTGTATTGGCGGTTAATCCTTTGAAGGAAGGACGTTGTTTTTACGCAGACACAGCCACGACAGAGTGTATTCAGTATAGATTAATAAATCTACATACATAAACACTACCTTTTGACAAATCCGCTGTGTAAGATAAAAGTAATCAATCAATCAGCGTGTTCTCGGTTAATCCTTTGATCGATGTTTATAATGTTGAATATTTACTCCAGACACAAGAAATGCCAAATGGGAACCTTTGTCGGGTAATGTAAGTGGTGTTACCACTAATTATACCTGTTATAAATTCATTAGCTGACCATCAAGTGAATGATGACAAATAACATGTGTAGGTTTATACCACCTAACACGGGTTACAACGAGAGAGTATTAATTGCTGTATTGCATGCAATTTTAATTGCATGTGAAAACTTATGGGCCGAAACTGTTTTGAGAATACAAACAGAACTTCATTGTTGCATAAGAAATACATATAAGCATTTGCTGTGTGCTAAAACCGTATGTACGTATGTACCTATGTAAAATTTCAGATTCTTCTAGCAATGGCAAAATAGGGTTGTTTAGTTTACCGATTCAAATAAATCAAATGTCATTTTTTAATATCACGCGTAATAGACGTCATATTTTTACATGACATGATTAAATATCGAGGTAAAAAAACACAGAAATGGGATCAATTTGGATCAGTCATTA